TAGCTTCTTTAATTATTCTTTAATAAAATAATGCCGTTTCTTTGTATCTTCAAAAAAAAGTATAAATGCTAAAAATATTGTTCTCAAATATGGCCTAGTAAACTGAGGATTACAAATTCCAAAGGTATAAGAAACTTAAAGATCCACCTCTGTAGAGAACTGAAATTACAATAATCTCTACGCAACACCACTATTCTTAAAACATTTATAGCAGTTTGGCAGTCCATGTAATTTAGAGAGATAAGACAAAATCTGTACTTCTGGAAATATGCAAGACTTGGTATCTTACATACTCTTCTCATTATCTGAGCAGACAGTCTCAAGAAAGATATATTGACTCTAACACCAGGAGCGTGGCACGTCTCTTCTGGCAAATGTGAGAAGCATACTTAAAACAGACTCCTCTTCAAAACAGATACCAGATCCTGAGTTTCATCCACCCTCTTCTTTTGTGTCAAGCCAAAAAAATGAAAAGTCATGATCAACTAGTTCACTGGGCCAGGCAAGCCAACACAGCCATGCCCAGGTTTTATTGGAAGATAGTTAGTCCAAGGACAGGCTTGGCCCTTTGTGGAACATCTTGTCTAAAAGGGAGGAAAATATCTTTTGCAAGTCCTGTAACCTTTGAGTAGCAAACATGTGACCCCCTCCATCATGGTACATGGCTACATTGAGTACTGAAAGTTATATTTCAAGTTTCCATGTCTATAAATCTAGATGACTCTTTTGCCCTTCTTCACAGGGAGATAAACTGATCTGTTGTAGACAACCAGCTAATCCTCACTACTGCTGTGTGCAGACAGAGCCCTAGGGCAGTTTCCTTACAGACTTAGTACATGCTCATAGCCAAAATTGATAGGCTCAGTGGAGTTTTAGAAGTTAGGAAAGCAAAAACCAACCTTGAGTTTATTCTGAAGAAACTCTATGGAGTTTTTAGAGAGGCTAAAACACTCCTGGAAAAGTACTACTGAAATGGTTTTACTCTGGAAGAGAACAGAGGATGTGATTTCTCTGCCTGTTGTATAAGAAATCATACAGAGATGATACAGAAAAGCTTTTAAATTAAATCAGTCCTATTGCATACACAAAGCAAAGTAAGAATCTGTTGAGGAAATTATTCACTTGGAAAAGAAGAATCAAGCATACATTTAAAGATATACTTTAAATATATACTTACATACACATGTATGCTGTATAAATACGTACATATCATTAGTTATTTGGAGCACACAAAATGTAGACTACTTTTTCCAGCTCAGGAATAAGACAGGCACCTAATATCAAACATATCAGTACATGAACATCTTTTGCTTTATACCCCAGAAGTTTTGTCCCGTAATGAACATTCTTGCTTCAGACTACTTCAGGTATTTCAATGGAGACAAACAACAAAAGGATCCAGTATATGCATTGCTTTAAAACAGATTTAGACTTCTAAAACATTTCAACACTGCAGCAAATTTTATTAAGGGGTCATTTCCCTAGCGATTCAGCCTGATTCCACCCATTTATACAAATACCATTGTATGCATGGTGAAATCCAGTGCTCCATGATCTATTAACACAACTCACACCTGTCCCCTAGGAGACTATTGCAGGTTAGTAAATCTCACTGCCAGAGATGTTCTTGTTAGATGGATAGCACTATCCTGTTCCTCATTTTGTCCTTCCTATTTATAACCCTTAGCAACAGGTTTATCAAAAGGTTGTTGGTTTGTTTTTTAATTGGAGCTTTTCTTTGGTATGTTTGTTTTTGTTGCCTAAAAAAAGGAAGGTTTAGCTTCCTTTTTGCAAATAGGAATCCCTGCTCTGGCTTCCCAATTACTTTGTTTGCTGCCCCCAAGTAAATTTCTTACTAGAAATACATGAGGCATCATGAAAGATCTTTGTTATTTGGTAGAAGTGGAGAAGGAACATTTATTCCATACATGTGCACTTCTCTCAAAAGAAGTGGAGGGCATGCAAGAAAATACTCTTGTCTGGACAGGACTTCACAGAACTGCAAGGGGTACTGGGGCCTTCTAGTGTGACTATAGAAGTAATTTTATCCAGTATTTCTAGATGCACCAACAACTAATCCTCCTTTCCCCCTGGAGTCCTTCTCATTGAAGCAACAAGGGAAAGGACTAGACAGAATTGTTTGAAAAGTGCAGTCAGTTCTGATTTGCATGTACTAAGAGCTTCCACAGTTTATTAATTTTCAGGCTTCTGACATGCCTGAATTCCATTAGTGCTACCTTGTAGGTGCTCATCACACACCTCCTCCTTCCAGTAGTTAATAGTGTTGAACTATTTTTTTTTTTTTTTTTGGAAAAAAAAGTGAAAATTATTTGTGCCTTCCCCAAAATGTTGTAAGGTAAACTGCCATACTCCTGGGAGAGCAAGTCCCACAAACTCAAAACACCTTTGCTTTCCAGTGAAGAATGAATCTCTCAATGCTACTCCAGCCTTTTTAAGGATGGCAGTGGAATTATACCTGGAGCACACACTGTAAATTATTCACAGAAGCTGCAGGATATTGTCATGGTACTTTTGATGTGACCATGAACCACAAAACAAAGTGATTACTTTCCAGCACTCTCGCCCTTCCCAGGTTTTTATCACATCACAGTGGACAAGTATCCCTGTTCTTCAAAACATGGAGCCTAATGCAAAATGAAAGTGTTTTCATGCCGGTGCTGTAACACATGCACAACCTGGTTCTGAGTTAGAGACACTTGGTCATGGAAGGAAATGTTAGACAGCAGAAAAAAAAACCTGTCAGGCCCAAAACAGCTGCTCCTGCACAGCCTTGTGCTGCTTCCTGGATGGAGCAGACCTGAAACCATCTTTTATTAAAATGTTGTTTCCAAATGACACAATGTGTCATCCTTTCAAAATTGGCTAATCAAATGAAAAAGATTACATGGCATTTAGCTGGGAGTAGCAGCAAACTGCTCTAGAAACATGCAAAAATAACACTATTGTGTTATGCTTGTATTTAGGGAGTTTGTTTTCTTGAACCTAACCTTATACAGACAGAAGCTTTTATTGATTTCCATATATGATATTGGTTTCTGAAGTCTGTAGTGCCAGCCCCACTTGAAACCTTACAAGGAATTACCAATTTATTTTTGGAGACTAACAATGTTCCAGCCAAGATGAAAGCCTCACTTTTCTAGAGGCCCTACTCATTAAAATCCAAACAGCTCGATAGAAAAAGGTATTAACAACTATATGCCCTCCAGCTTGAGAATACACTGTCTTGTGATCTGTAAGAGTTGTGCTAACATCAGGCTACCTGCCTCTACTAGATACTGTAAAAAATATCCTCTTACAATCTGCATTTGTTTCATTAAAGCCTAGAACACAACTACCAGGAAGTGCTGCAAAGTAATTCTACAGACAGAGTCAAGGCTCAGGAGATCAGTTTTGAGCAACCTGTGTTTACCAAGATTTCCTAGCATCCAGTGTTGACAGAGACAGAATACTGTCCTGCAGGTGAAGGCAACTGTAAACATTGCTCTTACATCCCACAAATAAAAAAAATTAAAAGCACCATGGAGTGCACAGACTTCTCACCCAGCCTGTTTTAGACACGCTTTCTATGACATTATATGTCAAGTGGAAAATTGCTTTTGACTGCAATAAGGTCCTACATATATATTCCTCTGCCAGTTGGGCCTTAGTAATAGCCTCATGGAAATTACACAATAAATAGAAAAGTGCAGGAAGCAGCAGCTGAAGTGACTCAATACAGGATGTAGGCAGAGATTCCAACAGGCCCTGCAAGCAGCAACTGAGGTTAAGGCAGCAGTGCTGGGCACACTCTGCCTCAAGCAGCAGTAGTCAAAATTCGATGTAATCTGTATCCACATCCTGTAATTAACAAAACTGTATGGGGGGAGAAAACCAAAAACTTAATATGGAAATTAGACAGCTCAAGGAATCTAAATTATAACTGGGACATTCATGGTTAATTAAAGACTTTATATGTGTGCTCCTTTTTTGCCTGTTGAAAGAGTATTTCTAAAGAGTCCCAGCTCCTTCCCCAAGGCAGCAACTGCATTTATGCCCCTGAGTTAGATTGAAAGGAGTGAAAAGAGTGCAAGAAAGTTGGCATGGTTTACAAGTTTCAGCCTGCAAATATGAATTTATCTCCAAGAACATTTTTTATTTTACCAGGAGTATTTTTGAGCTCTGATGACTTTTAGGTACCACCTTTCCTAGTGTAAAGCAGCTGTAGGAAGCAATCAATGGATACAATGGTATTTTTCAGAATTTGAAACACAGCTGAGAGAGATACACTTACCTGTGCACATACAATACACCCATTTGTAAGCCACCACTGCACAGAAAGAACTCCACAGGTACTAACCAGGTCAGGACCTAAATACCTAAGCTCTGGATTGCCCCTGCAACAGCAGCTCTAAATACACAGCAGATCTGCTGAGACACTAACCAGGCACCAGTTGTCCATGCTCCACCTTTCCACTGCCCCTCTTACCCCACACATCTTCACCAGCTGAAATGTGAGTTCACTAACATAAGTATACAAGATCCTTTTAACTTCCAGGGGTAGCATTGCATCACTAACTCCCTAGAGATCTCTTACTCCCATACAATCTTATTTACAGAAACTTATCTTTTATACCTCCTTCCAGAAGCTATGCAATGCCAGAAATTAGGACTATTGAAATAAAACTGTTGTGCTTCTGACTAGAGCCTTTTACATGAGTCTGTTGTATGTATGGTTGTACAACTGGTTTGCTTTATTGAAAACACACAAACCACTGGATCCACTTACCCATATTAATCTGTTATAGCAGCTGACATACTCTACATTTTTGTTAGATGAACTAATAACATGGGACATTGTTCCTAAAGACTTTGCTTTTAAGTCAATCTCAAAACACAAAAGTTTAGTATGTTGGATAGATCACAATGCTGTGGATCACATCTGTGGCATCAAGACAAATACAGCAAATGGTTAAATAGCCTAACTTCCAGCATTCACTTACTTGTCTATTTTCCCCATCAGAAAAAGGCCTTGCGAGAAAAATGGCTCTTGGACGGCTTCAGTTCCATGACTCCAAAAGAAGAAGAAGAAATGCAAAAGCAGAATCAGGAGGACCAACAACGGACTCATGAGCTGGAACTAGACATTTTCAGGTAGGGAAGTACCCCTGCCCTTGTGACTGGGTTAAAATGGTCTTCTCTTACAAGTCCTACCTTATTTTGTAAAAGATGAAAGTATCAACAAGTGCTAAACACATGCAGAGTAAAGCAATTCTTGTCATGTTTTCTAGTCAGTCAGAATTAGAGAATACAGAATACAATTTTCCATACTGTAAATTGTCACAAACTGCACAATAACTATATTGCAGAGTATCTGTTTCTCTAATTCCAGATATTCTTTCCATGCTGTATTCAGTAGTTGTAAGCCCCAACATATGGGGATTGCTCTAAGATAGCAACTGTTGAATCAGAACTTCAAAATAACAGTAAATTTTCAAAGTTCTCAAGTTTCATTAGGCCCTGGCATAGCCTTTAATATCTGAGTTCCACAATAACAGCCCTTCAGAAGTGTATATGCTCCCTAACCCCATTAGTAACACTTATCCTCAGTTTTCTATGTGCTCTGTACTCTGCCAGAGTCCCAGGACTTTGCTATAGCAAAGTCCTTTTTTTACCTTTCAGTAGAGATGTTTCTACAAATCTCATCACCTAGTGCTTCCTTATCACACAGGACTAACATTTAACTGCAGAGACAGTCTCATGAAGGACTCTTATTTACCATGGAGAGGGTTCCATGAGTTAGCTCCTTTCCTGGGTCCCGGCATACTGACTGGTACTATCCTTTAGCACCCACAGAAAAGATGAAATGTTCCAGTTCCTTTAGATTCTGGAAAGTTTCATCATCCTTTTTCAAGGCTTCTTCCTCTATTTCAATTCAATAGCATTTTCCTTTCTACTTTGTTTCCACTGCTCTCCTACACACACTCTATTGGCAAAGCTGTCACCCAGATTACCTTCTTCAGTGATCTCCCATCCTCTTCCCTCCATCTCTGACACAGATAATATTTCTCTTGGCTGACAGGTAGCAGCCTTGTGCTAGTTTGTCCTATAATTATGCTGACTTCTTGCTCAAAAGCACTTTTTCTCTGCAGAACATCTTCTTACACACCTCTGTAGGATTCATTGTTGCAGTGGTAGGAGGTAGACAGCAAGCCCTGAAAATATCCCAGGAGGATGTCATTTTGAAGGCATGCAAGAGAGGCCTGTAAGACACCAAGTACCAGAATAGAACAGCATCTAGGGCTAGAATAGGCTAAGAAGCAACAAGAAAATGGTGCTGAGCAAGCATTTCCCCATCAGACCTCTGGAAGTTCAGACCTTCTCTAAGCAGTGAGAGGAAAGATTAGATTCAAAGTCCTGTTGACCATGAGCAAAGCTTTACCTAAGAATTTAGGCAGGTTTATTCACATGTCTTTTGCTATAAATTAAATTTCCTACCACTCCCTAATAGCTGTTTAGCAAGGACATCTAGAAAAAACATCACATTGCCTTCCAAATAGCATTACAACTTGTTTATACACACCCAGGCCAGTTTCAAACGAGCCAGCAGTGATACAGAAACCTAGGAATAAAGTCCACTAATAAATATAAACTATGCATCATACAGTCTTTTTTGCTTTTGCTACACCACAGTTATCACCAAAGCTAACAAAAGCCTGTCTGACCTTTGACCTGCCCTGTAAATCAAACATTGCCAAACTGATCATGTAGACACATCATACAGTAGAAATAAACTGAAAGGCTCAGTAGAATTCTTTCTTCTAAGCATCTGACTATTAAAACTCACTTGATTTGGAGATATTCAGTTCACTCTGTTGATTATTCTCTGTATGTTTTGTCTTCAGATAAAAAAAAATTATTAATTACTTTAAAGACTTTTTGATTACCCTTATACAAGTATTTTTTTCTTTTTTTTTCTGCGGAGACAACAATTGCAATTACTGGCAGTTTATTTACAGAAGTGGCATGACATTGCCATCACCTTCCTAAATGGGATCTCTGCTTTGAAACATTCCTGAATGTCAAATTGAGCTGATGTATGTCTGCTAATCAGTTCAGATTTGAGCATTTTTTTTAATAAAAGGGAGAAGTTCCATTCTTTGTATCAATGGCAAACCAGTGAGTAGCAAGCAGCCTGAGCCACCTTGGAGACAAATGGCTGAATGCTTTGGTTACAGACAGAAATAGCATTTATGTTATCTGTCCTATTTATCCTCTGTACAAGTTGGAAGCTTCAGTGAACCAAGAGAGCACATCCTCGGTCAGGGTACAAGCTGAATCAAGAGTCCTGTTTTCTCACTTAATCTTCAGCTAGTAACACTCATTCTTGATGGAATTAGTTGCTAAACAACATATTTAAAAATGCAAAATAATGAAGGTCTAGTCAATTGCTTATAATGTGAGGCATGAAAGCAGACTCAAGGCTATACTACAGAGCTGCTAAAGCATTTGACTCCCCTCAAAACATGTGACAGCTTGCTAAGCCATCTTTTCTCCTCAGTCTGGAATTTTTCACAGTGGTATCGTCATATCTGCTTTTCATTCTCAAGCCATTTTTTTTAATGGGGTGGCAGTGATGTCAACTCCAGCAGATCAGCTGGTAGCCAGCAGCATCCAGGAAATCTCCATAGATTTTCTTAATTCAGCTGCCACTTTGGCAGAGAAACCTTTCAATTAGTGTCTTGACTTCTAAGGTTTCTTCTCTCATCGACACCTCTGTACTACTTATTTCCCCTCTCAAATATTCAGTGCTACTTGAAAAGAGAACAAATATTCAAAGGATTGATTTAATATATACTTCAATTTCTTGCCTAAAAAGGCAGTGCTGTACAAAAGGTAGCTTCATATAATTGCTAGAATAGTTGTTAAACCCTTTCAAGACAAACTGTGATAGATATAACTTCATAAAAATGTGATTGACTTAGAAGTTTCTAAACATTTAAACACATCAGAAAGATCCTGGCCTAACTTTTCAACCACATGATGTTATAAGGGCTTCAGTTTCTTTGAACTATACAAATTGCATCTCTTAGAATTTTTCTTTCCACAAATTCCAGAGTGCACACTCACAATACTCTGAAATTGAACCATAAAATCTGGTTTTGCAAGTATAAGTGCAAAAGAGGTACTTAGATGCAATTCCCATTACATGGATATGTGAATTTCTCTCTAAACCCACTGAGTATTGAATCAGGTCTCTTAATTACCATACAAAGTGGGTGTTGGTATGGCTGAAAGAGCATATGTAAACTGTAATTTGTTTCTTGATCACCTAGGTAAATACACGGTTTATTATCATTGATTTATTAGGGGTTGTGTTTTCTCTTTTTTCCCACCTCCCTTTTTTCAAGTATCTCCAAGATTTTTCTTCCTCTTCTTACACCTGTGTGTCTAGGAGTGTTTAGAGCCAGGACTGAAATAAATCCACAGTATAAGTTAATGATTTTTCAGCTCATTATGCTTTTGTGAGTTTTTAATGATTTTCAAATATTTTCAAATATTGTGAGAATATTGTGATCAAGATCTAAAAATAAACATATCAATAAAAAATCTCAACATATTAAACAAAGACTGTTTCATTAGAAGTATAAAAATATGGCACATGGTTATTACTTTCTTTTATAGCGTCCAAAAATATTCATCTCTCTTGTAAATTTTTTTAAATTTTAGCACTGTAATCAGTACCTTTGATCAGGGTTCTAAGGCCATCTTGCAGAGCTCAGGTCCAAAGTGTGAGCAGATTTAAATATATTTTTTTTAGCTTTTACTTTCATCCTGAAGAGGGGTTCCCTTCCCCCCGGTATCTGCTCCAAGGTCCGTGATACCTTTGTACATCAAAAAAGAGATGTTGTCACCAACAGATAAAAGTCCACATAGCACCCTGTTAGTGCAGCTCCAAATATCTGAGTTTAAATAGGCAACAGCCATAATGTAATTCAGATTCCTCAGCCACACAGAAGGAAATCAATAATGCTAATCTGAACACCTGCATGCAGCTTTTCTAGACTGATTACTTTAAAGGGATGGCAGACTTTAATCATTCATGTGACTTTGTGTATAATATTGTGAATCCTAGCACACAGTAAAATCAAAAACAAAAAACCAACACTTCTTCCCATGGGGTTATAGGCCAACACTTCTATAACCCTGTAATGTAACTTGGTCTCAGATCAGCTAGTTGTAATTATTCTGACTGCTCTCAGCAAAAGGTGGTATCAGTTGCCTTAGGTCTACACTCATTGATTTCCAGCATGGATTAAAAAAAAAAATGATAGAAGACATATTTCACTTAAATATGGAAGCTCTTAAATTTCCTTTTTTTTTTTTTTTATTCCTTAAAGTTAAAAGAAGTTCTTTTAAAAAGAACCAAGAGATGAAAGTTATACAGCATTAACCTATAACATAAGGCATTCAGTTCAAGTCGCACTTCAGAGTTAAATCTGGAGTTGGATTATAGATCTTCATGGAAAATTGGTTTCCCAACTACTCAGCTAATAAGGCAAATTCCATCTCAAACCCAACAAATATGCACTTATGCAGAAAAAAGGAGTCTTGATTAGAAGGAATAAAAAATAGGAAACAGGCCACCTGCTTAAGTCACTGCCTTACTCAAGGGAGAAAAATTGACCAAGATACTTTAACATTGTGCTTTATATCCAGACAACCAGGAATAGCTTTATCCTTCTCTGACACAGACATTCAATTTTTTATCTTGGACCTTTCTGTCTAGAAGTGTTTGTCATACACTAAGAAAATAAAAACTCTGATCAGGAAAAAAGATACCTTAATTATTGTGCTCAGATTTAATATGTAAGAACCACACAACATAGACTTAACACATAAGAAGAGCAGGGAAGGGAGCTGTTACATACAAACCTCCAGCAAGTGCCAATAGCCCAAAAGAAGTTTTTACTTCTGAGCCTCAGTATTCCTTTTACATAACAATAAAGGTTTTAAAAATAAAAAAGCTAACCCATCAGCCAAGTCCTAACTGGCAAAATAGTTCATGTTTAAATGTGGATGGCTGTTTGTTGTTGGGTTTGGGTTTTTTTCTTTTTAATTAAAAATACTATTTCACAACTTTTTTCCCAATGCGTATGAAACCATAAGTTGATTTCATATAAGAGCAAAGTTTGTCAAGGTAAGTAGCTCTTACCATCCCTACTAATGTCCATATTCCCAATGCATCAACTCCACAGTGTTGTTCTCTGCCTGGTATTAAATCAAATGCAACTGTGATTGCAGACTGGAGAAGGAAATTGAGGCTCTGGAAAGACAAGAAATGGAAGTCTCAGCTAAGGAAGAAGCAATTTTAAAGAAACTGAAGTCTGTTGAGAAAACAACAGAAGACATAATAAAGGTTAGTGCTATATTATTCTAGAAATAGAATTTATTACTCAATCATCATCATATCCAGGGAAAGGAGAACTAGCTGGATCCCATGAGTGGTCATGAGCTTTTGTCTGAAGTGACAACAGTTCAACCACAAGAGGGGTCAAGATGTTACATTGTTTAAGTGCCCATATGTCTTCCATTTGCTTATTTATGGGGGTGGGGGAGCAATTCCTGTCTTTACTCATCTCTAAAAACAGCACTGCCACTGACACCCAGCAACTTTGCATCTCAGCCAGAGACAGACACACCAGGTACAGACCAGGTAGAGAAGCTGATCTCTTTATGCTAGTTCTGGTGACGTGCCCAGCTAAACTGCATCATGTCCTCCACCAAGTCCCTGACAGAGATTATGATGCATCCTAATGTTATCAACCATAACTCTTTGTCAAAAGGTAATTTTAATATTTTTAAATCTCTTAAACCATATCAAAAAATACAGTGATGAAACTAAACTTCAGTTCTCCAGCTGTTCTTGCATACACACACACTGTATTCTCTGAAGGGAGATAAGTAAAACTGGAAAGCCAAAGTAGGACCTGTAGAAAAATCTTTGACACCAACCAGGCTGGGCCACAGTGGGAGGCCAGGTCACTGTTTAACACTTCATAATACTTTTGTCCTTCCCTGTGTGACTTGGAATCATATTGGCAAAAGACCACAGAAATTTCACTTTCTCACTCACCATGCTCCAACTGAGTACATTTCACTTTTAGCCTCTTCTCTGTATGAAGCTGTGCACACAAAAGGTTAAAACTATCAGGGAAACTAAAGCACTGTATAGTTAACATCTTAAAAGTAACTATCACATTTATTGTTAATGGTTCTCTTTCCCACCTAGTCTGTGAAGACTGAAAAAGCTGGATTTGAAAAAGGTACGTTTAGTCAAAAGAATATTTTTTAAAAGGTTCTTGTAGAAGTAAGTTAAAACATACTAATGCTTTGTGGATCTGTGGATCTTCTTTACTCAGAGGCAGCAGACTACATATATGCCAGCATCCCCGACCTTCCCAAGTATTTCAGACCTTCTGCACTGAGAAGTACAGCACATGCTGACATGGATGATGAAGAAAAAAGAAAAGGTACTGCTTATTAGTAACTCCAGAATGTGTCAATATGTACAAAGGCTTCCTATATATTGAATATAACACATTTTAAGTAAAGAATAGACATTATAGATATGAGACATTTGTTCTCATTTAAGCTGTGTTACCAGCTAGGTCATCAAAACCGAGAGGTGAGACAGTGGTGTAAAGTATGTGCCACTGAGAATAACTCTTTTCACCACTGACACTTCTTTCCAGCACTTCATTCTTCTGCCTGTCATAACTAAGTACAGACTCCCTTCATATCATTCATTTCACATATTCTATCTGCACTTACAGCTGTTGGGTAGCCAGCAGTAGTCAGCTATTTCCCAATTACTGCAAAGCCTCCTAACCCTTCAGAGTACCCAAGACTCTCTGGCTTTGCAGCACATGGAGCTCTTCAGCTGCTATTGCCCAGCATAACACCAGGGGCCAAGGTTAAATCTGGATTTTTCAGTCTGTCATGTAATGAAAACTGTCTCAGCAGCTGATTCTTCCTCACAGAATTAAAACACTTTTTTCCACAGGAAAAAGGGGGCATCCAAAATTAGAATCTAATATACAGGTTGTGTATGTGATAATTTCACATATTTAATAATTCATTCTGGCAGTTGTTCTCTATCACTGTCAGAAGTCCTTTATTTCTTGCAGCTACTGCATTACCAGTTTAAGCACTTGTTTCTTTCAACAGCATTGTTTGCCATGGAAATTAAGGTTGAAAAAGACATGAAGACCGGAGAAAACACAGTGTTATCAACAATACCTCTTCCCTCAAAGGAGTTTAAAGAGACAGGAATTAAAGTCTATGATGATGGCAGGAAGTCAGTGTATGCAGTGTCCTCAAATGGGACCACAACACAAAATGGGATGGATGAACTTGCTCCTGTTGAAGTGGAAGACCTGCTACGACAGGCAACTGAAAAAAATTCTCAGTCTCCCACAGAGTACCATGAACCTGTCTTTGCAAACAAATTCTGCAGGCCAGTTACTCCTCAGATAGACAAACTAGCCCCAGGACCAAAACCAGAAGACACTGACAAAAGAGAGATGAATGGATTTAGCAATCATCAAACAGGGTTCCCCTCCAAAACAGAGCCCTTTATGCAGCAAAATAAAGAGAATGGCCTTGGTCTTCCAAAGGTAATACAACCAAAATCTCCCTCTCCAGTAGTTTCCCATACAGAGAAGAAAGTGCATACTAATCCTGAGAACAGAATGATTCATAATGAAGAAAGAAATGCTGCACCTGAGGAATTAAAACCTTACCAGAATACAAGGGAAAAACATGGTGAGACAAGGTTTTTAAATCCCTGTCCTCCTAACACAGCATCCCCTGCACCTCAGGATGAGGAAGATGTTCGGTACAACATTGTCCAGGCTGTACCCTGTTACGTGGATGAATCTGAACCTGTAACAATGGTTTTCATGGGTTACCAGCGTGTTGATGATGACGATGCAGAAGCAAGCCAGAAGTTGTCCCCATACGATGGGGTTATCCATGCAGAACTGGTTATCATTGATGATGATGATGACGAAGATGACAGCAAATCTGAGAAACCAGCATATCATCCCATAGGCCATTATAGTCAAGTTTATCAGCCACCAAACAGGAAAACCACAGAAGCTCAACAGACAAATCCTGTGAGCAGTCTGGGTGCAAGCCTGAACAAGATACCCCATAAAAATTCCATTTCCCTGCAAGAGCAAGAGGAACGCTTAAGCTCACCAACACACCATGCTCATCTTCACAGCCAGATGTCTGGAGATGGTACAGAAGATCCCTCTCTAACAGGTAACAGAAAAGGAAAATCATGTCACTGCTGCTTGCTCATGTAGCAAAATGATACTGCTTTTATCTCCTGGCAACTGTATCACTTACATTGTTTGGATTGTTTCAGACTAATATGCTATTAATAATAATTTTTTGCTCTTGTTTGTTAACAAATACCAATCTACATTTTGAATCTTTTGAATTATTTTGTCTTCAGCAATGCACTAGTTACCATATCAAAATTTGGAAAATAAACTATTAGAGAAATTCCATTCCTATAACCTCGAAAGATTAAAAGTGGTATTCTTCCAAGTTCCATTAATGCTACCAAAATTAGCAGAATTAGTTTCCATTTCTTGTAGGTAACTAACAGCATTGCTACTTAACAATTCCTCCTCCCTCACTGGCATGTTTTTCTGCCTGTCTCCATTCCAACAACTTCCTAGATCATCCAAGTTATACCTTAAATAAGAAAGACTACTTAATAATCAGCTTTACTTTGTATTTTTAAGGAATCAACATTGCCAACATTGTCTTGATAGTGTTTATGCAAGTTTTAACATTTTTTCCATTAACCCGAGTTAGATATTTTTATAGCTTCTGAAAGATAATGAATCAGTTTTCACCACTACACACTGTTAGTTCAGTAGTCCACAAAGTTATTTTTGAATAATTTTTTATATTCTATTAATACATACAGTATCTATTTCTTACTATAAAACTTTATAATAAAAGTTTGAAAGCAATAGCAGAATCTTCCAGAAACATAGAAAACTCTTCTCTATTATTATGTTGCATTTTAACACATACGATTAGACTCCATTTAAGTATACTTACAGAGCAGCAGATTGCAGTCACTTTCCACTTGAAGGAAAGAACACTCTGGTTGAATTACTGGAAGATCAGGGGTCCCGATTCCACATTCTCTCCCTCCAGAGAATTTGCAGCAAAAATGTAAAGCTGAATTGACAGCCCAGGTATTCTTTACATTAACCAGGAGGAGAGGATGATCTTTGCATCATATAAGAACTTTGAAGTATTTTTGCATCAGTAGGCAGTGATTGGGAAGAACTGTTCAGCAAGCAAGGCTCTCAGCTTTTAGGAGTATCAATATCATAGAGTCATGCACACAAAAGCCAGAAACTGCAGCGCAGCCCATCCCTTCTGATCAATAAGGCCACTACACTTTTCCATTACCTTTGCTTTCCGCAAGCACCCATCGTGCCATCTGTGTAATTCCCTGTGTTCTTCAGCACCAAGAGCTGCTGCCAGCAGCTTTTATGCCAGCAACTGGAAACAGTAGTTAGTACACGTAAGATAAACCACTCCAGAAGCTGCTTTAGCCCATTATATTTTGGGGATGGTCCTGTCACATAAATATAGGATAACTGAGAAGGGACACTCACCCACCAGCAGGTTTCCACTGAAACAGGTCATTCATCCCACAGCACAGAGTGGGTGCTCCTGAAAGTATCCTGAGAAAGTTGTCCAAGTAGTAACTACAAGCTGGGAGTACCATTCAGGTGGGCCATACACAGGCCATGAGATTTTAGCTAAGCACCCTTATCTATACCAACCTCTGCTTATTTGTGTCCCTCAGGAGAAGCATCTCAAGTTTCTACGTTTTCCCCCTTCCACTCAGACACTTCACAAACAATCTGGGTTCTCTCTCATTTGAGGTTAATGAAAAACAAATACTTTCAGGAAAGAGGACTAAGCACAAATATAGCAAAGATATTCAAGAATCTGTCCTGTAAATCTGTGTTTGGTCTCAGCCATTTACTTGCAACTATCCCACCAATAAGAAAATGGCCACTTGGGAAAAATGGATCCCAGCTAAATTAAAAGCAGTTTGGCAATTACCTCAAAAAATTCCCCCAGTCAGCACTGCCTCCAAGTGAGTATCTTCATGCCTAGTAGAATTTGGAACTAAGCCATACTCTTCTTTAGCCCTCCACTTATTTATTGCCACTCCCTGGGACATTTTTGATCAGT